TGTCATCACAGTCAACTCTATTTTGAGGAGGCAGCCCTTCCTCAGTCATATTTTGAGTGACTTCCAACCTGAAGGGTTCATCTTCCAGCACTAAATCTGACAATATGCCATTACTATTCATAAGATTTTCATTGGCTAAACATTCAGAAGTAGTCCGTTTCTCCTTCTTCCGAGTCTGTCTTAGTCAGGAAGCTCAGCTGAAACCTGTCTACTAGAGGTGGCCCTGCTGGTACTTAAGGCACTAGTGGCATAACTTCTGCATCACAGCAACACACAAACCAGTAAAATAAACTGACAGACAAGTGAGGGAAAGTTGAGTTTTGGTAGATGATATTATGTGCTTCTTATTTTCTTCTTTAACTTTTCTATAGTTCCTAAATTTTAGATATGAAGCATGAATTCATTTTAAACTATAACAGTAATAAATATTTTTACATAATTATATAGCCATTGTTATCAGCTGTTACAGAAAGCAAAAGAATGAAAATAATTTTTTCCATCTCTTTCAACAGAGCTTTCAACAAACAAAATCAAACCTACAGTTTCTTACAGATAATTTCCATAAAAAAGTCATTGGTTTTCAGCTCCAAGGCATACAGCTCTGGACCTGGTTCCCACAAGGTTAAGGAAATAGAGAAGAACAGGCCCACTCACATCAGTCTGGAGATGTGCAGGTGCTTCTGAGTTGTCATTGATCCTCCGAACACTGTCATAGTGTTCCCCATATCGATATGCGATGTGTAACTCTCTCTCGTTGCTTTTATCTGTACCACGAATCTGCAGGCAAAGGAAGGGGTGATGCCAGTGAGGACTGGGCATGTGTTGTCATCGGAGGGGAAATGTGTTATCTGGATTGCCCAGGTGTCCTGTGCCCTTCATCAGACCTTGAGGTAACTAGGCTCCACAGAGACACTAATTGTAAATTGGACCAGGATATGTTCTCTGCAATTTCTGAATCACCTCCCTGCCACCTATGTTATGTCTCAACTATAGGGAAATCAATTCACATGGAGACATATATCTGAAAATCAGAGTCAAATTTAAGCATATTTATGCTTTAAATATCTCTCAGCCCCTCTACTGTTTAGGCCCCTCCCACAGGGGAAGACCTGGGGCAGATGCAGATTTTGTTGGGCTTGAAGGTCCTTTTTGAGGAAAGGGATGCAAAATTACAAATAAAAAATTGCTAGAATCCCTCCCAAGGGCTTGCAATAGACCCATGCAAATCATCATCTGTCAGTCCACCCCAGCTTGATTAAAAGGAGCATTTTCTATCAACCACAGAATGAGAAATATTATCAATTACAAACCCAACATCTCTCAATTTTATCAACTTCAAAATTATAGATAGTACTACAGCAGCAGTACTTCCGCACTGTACAACTCCAGAGGCACCATTCACAGGTTCTACAGCAATGGCAGTCCTGGTGCTCCTGGGTTAGGCCTTGGGCTTCTAACCACAAGGTCAACAGTTCAAGCCCACCAATCGCTCAGCAGGAGAAAGATGGGACTGTTTGCTTCTGTACAGATTTAGTGTCAGAAACCCTATATAGAATCACCATGAGTCAGAATTAACATAATAGCAGTGGGTTAAGGTCCAGGCTGTTGTTGTTAAATGCCATCAAGGCAGTTCCAACTCATAGTGACCCTGCATAGGGTTTCCTAGGAGTGGCTGGTGAACTTGAACTGCTGACCTTGTAGTCCAATGCGTTAACCCGCAGCACAAAACAAAGTCCAGGCTAACCATATTCAAAAACCCAACACCACTACAAAAACTCCAAAGTACTTCTGAATCTTTCCCTTAGAAAAGAACATGGATTCTCCCCCAAAAAATGATAGTATGTGGTGAGACCTGGGGACACTTGAGCCTATGGACAAGGACATAGCCACAGAGTGCTAGATCTGAGAGTGAAGCATCCAGCTGATATGAAGTGA